TGTCCTATTGATTTCGCCTTGTCGGTGGTCAATACAATTATAGTCGTTCGGATGGGCCCGAAAAACCGAGATCGTGCACTTAATTGATGTAGTCCAATATGACGCATATATCCCTGGGAAGGAATTCTTCGGAGTGGCTTCCCCTTGTCGTTGGTGAAGGACGGAGCGTCTGTCAAGGAACGGTGTCTATATATATAGTCGTTCTGATGGTTCGAAATACCGAGATCGTGCACGTAAAAGAACCCTTGACATTTTGTTGGGTAAAAATTCCCTCATAGCACACGGTGTGGTATATGCTTGTCTTCATTAGCCCAGTCACTGGGCTAGTGAAGACGGGCATACGCCATAGAGTGTGCTGTTAGAGCGACACTGTGACCTAGTCTTATATCGAATTCTATCTGTCAAGGGATCTTTTACGTGCACATCAATGTGTAGACAGGACCTCCTCGGTTTTTCGTACAAGGAAAACCTGATGAACTTTCTCGGCCAATGCAGGGATCGAACACGGGACCTCCAGGTTAGCGAGTCAACGTCCTACTCACTGAGCCACCATAGCCGTGGTCGGTTCAGAAAAGTAGAGCGTTCAACCCCATTTCATTTCATTTCATTTCATTTTCTTTGACGACGGTGTTCACAAACTAGGAGATCCCACACTCGATCCTGATATCTCCTAGGGATGTTTGTCTTCGGTACGGAAAATTGTCTAGTCTTTAGGATGGTACACATAATCTAGACCCATCCACCTAACAAATATTGACAGTTGCATTTAGATGAAGAATAGGCGGAAATGCCACTACTCGGACAAAATGTATCTCATAGCATTTGTCTGTCTTATTATCCTGGTTAATGTCAAAAATCTAGAACGTATTTTTTATTCCATTTCATTTCTTGTTTTTGTTTCAGTGAATAATGATTTAATGATCTGAAGAGAAGAGGCAAACCTTCACGTTGCATGTATCATTGCTAATGTCGATAACTATAGAGATTGTATAGACTTAAACCATAGATACACAAGACGTAATTTCAGATAAAATGGGAATAAACTAATCTGGCTTAAATAATTTGTGTTGTTGATTTTTGTTGGATATAACCTCATTCCACTCTAATTTATCAATATATATCTAAAACAAAGCAGAAATATAGTCTCACAGCTTCTGATTTTATACAATTCTTGGCGTGCACGTAAAAGATCTGTTGGCAGTTAGAATTCGATATAAGATCATGGCACACTGTATGGTATATGCACCTCTTCATTAGCCCAGTCGGAACATAACAGTAGGACGTTAAACCCCATTTCATTTCATTTACCACCACTCTGCTGAGATTCTGGAACATGCCTATGTAAGCGTGTCATAAATTCCTGAATACTCACTGTGAGTAGCATACACCCGTGAGCGTGAGATAAATTCTTGAATACGTCCTAGCGAGGGTGACATGATTTTAATAATTTAGTTTTATAGATATAAGGAATTTCAGGCCCTTATGTTTTGCTCCTTATTTTTGACTACTGCATAAAGCTATTTAAAGATAAATTATTAGAGATTAGATAAAGAGCTGTCAGTTCTCACTATAATAGTTAAAAACTAGATAATGTAAAGGGAATTTGCTGAAAATTTCAGTCAAATTGATTCACTCCGAACTGTGAATTTAGCGATTGAATTTTCGGCTTAGCCTGAATCATCATTACTAAAACATATTCTTGATTATCCATTTCATGATTAAATCATGAATCTAAGTTGGGCAGCAAATCCGATCCTAATCCACTAAATAGGTTGGCGATGACATCGAGAGGGTTGATTATGGTCTGGATAAGTTAATTAATCTCTAATTAATAACATAGATAACAATTCAGGCCTAAAGAAAGACCTGCAATAGGCAGATTTACCTCTTGCATAATGTATGTTTAATAGGCTTTATTTAATGGTCATTTATGAAGTTGTTTTTTTACCTCCAATGTGCCCGCTGAGATGTTATGTAGCTCATAGCCGATTATGACTCACAGCAGTAAGATGCAACGTTTGGGAATATTTCCCCCCTTTTTCTTGAGTTGCGTCCCATGTTGTTAGTTTGTTTTTCATGGCCGAGAAAGTTCATCCAGATTTTCCGACGTGGTTTCCCCTTGTCAGTGGTGCAGCACGGAGGGCCTGACAAGGACAGCTGTCTAGTCCTTCGGATGAGACGAAAAACCGAGGTCCCGTGTATACATTGGAATGCACGTAAAAGATCCCTTGGCATTTGGAATTCGATATAAGAGTAGGCCATAGGGCCGCTGTCCGGGTAAAATTTCCCTCATAGCACACTGTATGGCGTATGCCCGTCTTCATTAGCCCAGTATAAGAGCAGAACAGTAGGACGTTAAACCCCATTTCATTTTATTTCATATTCATTTCATTGATTTTGAGTGAAGTCTGTATCAGGCTACGGTGTGTACTTGGCTTTTTATTACATTTCACCGACATGTGGCATTATAACAGATCATGATTAGTACTAGTATTATACAACGATTGGCAAATATGAACACATATACATGACTGTACAGCACGATTAGCCACAGGACACATTCACTTGATATATAGGGTTGTGATGCCTGTGTATAGTGTGTCCTCTCCGTCGGGTTGTCTTGTTTAATTGGTTGTCTTTGGTGCGGTCATCCTGTATTTAATATAACGTCTATTAACTTGATCTGATATGTGCGATTGTTGTTTGTGGTGTCTGTTGGTTTGTCTTGTGTATTTTGTGTGTGGTGTGGTCCTCCGGCATTTAATATTACATTTACGCTTCAATTATTCTTTGTTTCATTTTACATTTACATGTATATTATCTTATCTTGTATAAAAAGAAAAACATGCATTATCATAATAGCCACGCTTTAAGTCATATTGACCTGCATCACAACTAAAACATACGGTGCTCTATTTAAGCTACCAGGGATAACGTGACCGAATGGGTAGACGATCACGCGTTTCATTGAGGCAAGTGGCGTGGTTTCGATTCCTCGCTTGTAGGTGACAAGGAGTACAGTCGCCTGTTCAACAAATTCATAATATGTTAGTCCCAAAATGACCTAGTGTGTGTCGAGTGGATGTTAATCCCCATTTCCCTCTATCTTATTTCAGCCACTCCACAACAAATGAAACAACAAAATGAAATGGGATTAACGTCCTACTTTTCTGCACCGACTGGATGGGCTAACGAGGGAAATTTTGCCTAGACAGCAGCGCTGAGGTCTATTCTTGTATATATATCGAATTCCACATAAAATTCTCTTTTACATGTACGCCAATATGAACACCTTGGTTGTTCATCCCATCCGAATGACTAGACGCTGTCCTTGCCAAGGTCCCCGTTCTGCACCACTGACAAGGCGAAACCACGCTACCTTAATCAAATACAAACTCGTTATTAGTAAACATTGCTTGTAATTAAAATGTAGAAACGATAATTTTATGGCTGAAACATTAACCATACATGTCCTATATGCTGACCCGCCGTTTGTTATGGTGACCCATTTCAGTCATAAAAACTGCACTGGATGGCGTGTTATTTGAGGTTACAATAAGAATACGGTGACTTCGTTAGAGTAAATACTCAAAATAGAAATTGGCTAAACGTAATACAAATTTGAGTGTACTTTTACATCTACTCCAATGCAAGAATTATGATTTTGTTACTGAAACAGAACACAATCGAAAACGATACGGCCAACATGTGAAACAAAGGTCTGTACTGTGACATATAAATGAAATGAAATGAGGTGTAACGCCCTACTGTGCTACTCCGGCTGGGCTAATGAAGACGGGCTTAAGCCATGTAGTGTGCAATGGGGGAAATTTTGCCCGGCCAGCGGCACTATAGCCTAGTCTTATATCGAATTCCAACTGCCAAGGGTTCTTTTGCGTGTACACAGGACCTCGGTTGTTCGTCCGTTGGGTGACCGATAACACATGCAGTGTATACCCGTCTTCATTAGCCAACAGGGGTTTGGGTGACCGATAACACATGTAGTGTATACCCGTCTTCATTAGCCAACAGGGGGTTGGGTGACCGATAACACATGCAGTGTATACCCGTCTTCATTATGGTGATCGAATGGTTTAACGCGTGCGCGTTAGATGGCAGCTCTTCGTATAAAGCAGAGTATTATTCAATCTATAAAGTAATGAAGTCCCCTTAAAATAAAAGTCATTCTACAATAAAAAAAAAAATGTAATTTATAAAAGGCACTGTCGTATTACAATGGCGACGTCGCTTTTTTCTCCCTTAAAGCTTAACATTGAAATAAACGAAGTGCGACTCGTGTCTAAACCAGTCCATCGTACTTTTCAAAACATGTCCTACTTAATACTGAACACTGCAAATAAAGGGTCACCGCCTATTAGATTCAAGTGGAAAAATTTAATTTATGTTAAATGTTAGAAAGATCTCCGTGTATTGAATATCAGGGTTGGGTAAACGGTCTATAGTGTCCGAGGGGTGGGAGTAGTCGTGCGTTAAGCCATTCCGTCACCCAGCCCCTTCGCCTTGCATTTGTAAAAAATACAAAAAGGTCTATGTTCGATCCTTGTGTTGGTCGAGATAGTGGATTTTCCGGCATCGGGATTTTCCGCGCGGTCTATGTTCGATCCTTGTGTTGGTCGAGATAGTGGATTTTCCGGCATCGGGATCTTCCGGCATCGGGATTTTCCGGCGCGATTCCCGAGCAAGAGGCGTTCAGTGTGGAAGAATATCCGAGATCCCCCTGTACAGGTGCACGTTAAAGAACCATTGACAGTTGGAATTCGAAATAAGAGTAGACCATTGTCTAGGCACAATTCCCTCATAGCACAGTGTATGGCGTATGACCGTCTTCATTAGCCCAGTAGGAAAAGGACAGTAGGACGTTAAACCCCATTTCATTTCAATTGTTTGTTTGTAAAACATGAAATTATTCTCTTCCCTTTAATCAAACTGTAAGTGCCGGGTCATTGTGATCTAATGTATAACTTGATCAGTGGTGTAACTATAATACTCAGTGTAAACCAAGCCACAGTATAAAACACATGATGGCTGGTATCTCCACCATGATATTAGATATATTCCAATATTTTAACATAGAATATATGACTGTATTGTTTAAAGATAATGTTGGTATAAGGACTGGTCTAGTATTTGTGGCTTGTCTGGGAATATGGTTGCTGATGAGAAAACCCCAAGGGATTCCACCAGGACCAAGATTTACCCTGCCTATATTAGGGGACATGTTGTATTTGAAAGGAGAAGAAGATTTGAGGGTAGTTGCCAGGCGACTAAGAAAAGAGTACGGAGATATATGCAGTGCTTATTTTGGATCGAAGTTGTTTATTTTTCTCAATAGTTATGGCGTGATAAAGGAAGCCTTGGTTAAAAATGGAGATATATTTTCAAATCGACCATCCTTGTTTTGGCTAGATCTTCTGAACCAGAGAAAAGGTAGGTGTTTGCAATGATTAGGGGGACAGGGGATGCCTTCCTAGATGAACCACAGTTGCTTGATCAGTAAGGCTTTTGCTCACTGACTGTGAGGTCCAAGGTTTGAGTCCGATAAAATTAGCCGCGCAAATCCCTCAATCTGGTTTATCCTTGTCAATGTTGTAGTCAGTTCATCGGTCTGGATTTCCCTTGTGGGTGGGGTAAGATGTTGCTTGATCTGATTCCTCCTTGTCAGTGGCGTAGGAGGTTCCTTGATCTGGACTCCCCTTGTCAGTGGTGTTGGAAGTTTCCCCGTCTGGACTCCCCTTGTCAGTGGTGTAGGAGGTTCCTTGATCTGGGTTTCCCTTGATTTGATTTCCCCTTGTCAGTGGTGTAAGAGTTACTTGATCTGGTGTTCCCTTGTCATTGGTGTAGGAAGTTCACCCGTCTGGACTCCCCTTGTCAGAGTGTAGGAGGTTTCTCAATCTGGTTCCCCTTGTTAGTGGTGTAGGAATTTCCCCCGTCTTTGACTTCCCTTGTCAGTGGCGAAGGAGGTTCCTTGATCTTGTTTTCCCTTGTTAGTTCCAGCCCACCCATCTCTTTGCACCATATGAAACACGATGTGTGCTAATAGTGTTCATTCTATTACAGGAATAGGGCAATCACAGGGCCAACCGTGGAAGGAACAAAGAAAGTTTGCTCTGGAAACTTTGAGAGAATTTGGTTTTGGCAGAACGATTCTTGAAGACAAAATTCATGAAGAAATTGGCTACTTGGTAGAAGTTATCAGACAAGAAAATGGCGAAAAATTCGACATGTTCCGTTTAAGCCAAAAGGGTGTTTCCAATATTATATCGTCCATGGTTTATGGTAAACGGTTCGAGTATGATGATCCGGTATTTACAGGCTTTCTGGGTGAATTGGAGAGCTTGTTTCAAACAATAGGATTTGGGTCTGTTTTGAATGTTTTTCCCTTTCTGCGATATTTACCGGGTGATTTGTTCAAATATCACAGTGTTTTGAACAGTCTGGATTTCATTAAAGGCAACATCATCATTCCATCAATCAACGAACACATGAAGAATTTTGATGAAAATCACGTGGATGATTACATCTGTACTTATATCAGAGAAATGAAGAAAGTTTCTAAAACTGGTCAGCCGTCTTATCTAAACGGTTAGTATTGTTTTCTTACTAAAGTCCCGTGTACACATAAGGCGCCTTTCCCGAGTTAATTAAGGTGTACTCCATGTTCCTGAAGCAACGACTGCGAGTTTTACAACTGGACGTTGCTAGAAAGTTTCTAAAACTGGTCAGCCATCTTATTTAAACGGTTAGCATTGTTGTCTTTTAAATTAAATGGTCTAGTCGTTCGGGTAGGAGGAAAATCCGCAGTCCCGTGTACACGTTGGTGCACGTAAAAGAACCTTTGAGTGGGCGAATGCAGATGCTCTACTCTTATATCGAATTCAAACTTTCAATGGTTCTTTTACGTGCACGCAAGTGTGTACACTATATTTCGCCGCATCGGAACGACATTACGCCGTAGGGTGAACTGCCAAACCATACGTCTGATGTAGACTGGACTAACCAAGCACAAGCGACTGCTATTCAGTTTTTATCGCTCCCGTAATCTTTAGAAATTATAATAAACACCTTTACAAAGGAATGTAAATAAGTTTATACACATTCATACTACATTATGGCCCATATTTGCTCATTTTGGTTTCCAAAGAATTGAGTTAGCTTCTTTCAAAGAATAGAGATTTAGTTCCTTTAAAAGAATAGACATTTAGCTCTTAATCTAAAAGAATAGAGATTTAGCTCTTCCTTTAAAAGAATAGAGATTTAGCTCTTCCTTTAAAAGAATAGAGATTTAGCTCTTCCTTTAAAAGAATAGAGATTTAGCTCTTCCTTTAAAAGAATAGAGATTTAGCTCTTAATTTAAAAGAATAGAGATTTAGCTCTTCCTTTAAAAGAATAGAGATTTAGTTCCTTTAAAGGAATACAGATTTAGCTCCTTGCAAAGAATAGACATTTAGTTCCTTTGAAAGAATAGACATTTAGCCCTTCCTTTAAAAGAATAGACATTTAGTTCCTTTAAAAGAATAGACATTTAGTTCCTTTAAAAGAATAGACATTTAGTTCCTTTAAAAGAATAGACATTTAGTTCCTTTAAAAGAATAGAGATTTAGCTCCTTGCAAAGAATAGAGATTTAGTTCTTTTAAAAGAATAGACATTTAGCACCTTTAAAAGAATATGATTTTCTTATAATGTTTCAAGAGCATAAGATGTAGTACTTTATATTTCCAGAGGATCAAATTGAGTAAGAGATCTTGATAAGAACTAAATATATCAATAATTATACAACTCGTGGTGTCCTAGATGTACATGAACTGTATTAGATCAAGCTTTTCAAGGAGGTGACGAGTTCAATTCCCCGATTGTACGTGGCATGCAGTTGGGTCGCCTGCCCAACCCGGTGGGCTTTTGTCGGGTCCTCCGGTTTCCCTCCACAACTAAAGACCCCTACTCACGCCCCTCAGGTACACCTTTTTGAGATAAAATGTGAATATTTTTTATTTTCAGAAGACCAATTGGTGGCATCTATATTTGACCTGTTCGTTGCTGGTACGGAGACGACATCAACAACCATTTTATGGACGATTCTTTATTTTCTACATCATCCAAACATACAAGATAAATGTTACAAGGAGATTCAAGATGTCGTTGGTTCCGGTCGTCCGCCTTCAGTAAAAGATAAACCGTCCTTGCCGTATGTTGAAGCTGTCATATTGGAAGTTCTCCGTAAAGCAAACATAGCATTGGCTGGTATCCCGCATGCAGTCAATGAAGACACGAGGTTCCATGGATACCAATTTCCAAAAGACGCAATTATCATACCTAACCTCGACGCTGTTTTAACCGATGACAAGATTTGGGGCGATGCTGATGTATTTAGACCGGAAAGATTCATCGATTCTAATGGACAGGTCATAAAAAAAGATGAATTGATTCCCTTTTCGACAGGTAAATTACAATTTAGTCTTTAAAAGTAATAATATTGATAAAATTTGCTGGCGCTGCACTTGGAGCTGACAGTTGGGTTTTCACGGAGTGGGAAAAGTTGGGTTTATTTGTGTTTTTTGATCGTCCAGTCAAATCTCTCCTGCGTTCCATTGTTGGACGATCTAGTTTGGAGGCTATTCAGTTTGTTGAAACAATTGATACATACGTAACATGACATTTCAACCCTTTGATCTGGGATCTTCCCTAAAACATTGGACAGCTGATTACATGTATTAATGGATTGTGAAAATGTTGTTCGTCTGCTGTGTGGTCCGACAATGTCTAAATTTATAACATATTGGATAGCCTCGCACAACTGACAAAGAGGAAACAAGGCGGAAAATCCATATGAGCTTTCTTGGCCAGTACCGGGATCGAACATGACACCTCCAGGCTAACGAACCAACGTCTTACTCACTGAGCCACCATGCCCAGAACTACCGTCGATTGACCCCTGGTTAACGAAAATGCGTCTTAGTCTAGATATATAGTATTGATAGATGTTGTACATGAGACAGGGTATGCTTACTCTATCTAGAACACCTGATAACACTTAGTCTAGATATATAGTATTGATAGATGTTGTACATGCGACAGGGTATGCTTACTCTATCTAGAACATATGATACCACCTAGTCTAGATATATATATATATATATATATATATATATAGTATTCATAGATGTTGTACATGAGACAGTGTATGCTTACTCTTTCTATGACACCGTATACCGATTCCTATTTTCAACAGTTTTTATTTCATGTGAATAATTATATTTTGTCTTTCAGGTAGAAGAATATGTCTGGGAGAATCATTGGCTAAAATGGAATTATTTTTATTTGTGACAACCTTGGTACAAAGATTTGAATTTAAACCAGTTGATCAAGATAATTTACCAACATTACAAGGTGTTGTTGGAATAACTCATGCTCCTGCTAAATACCAGGTTCGAGCCTTACCCAGATAAATTCGTGTGATATAATGTTATAACCGGTGTCTGTCTGTTGGTCATGTTGAGTATGACACTTTTATTGTCCAAAACATGCCATTATGGACAGGTTGCCGTAATTAAAGAATGTATGGCTCTATTATCTTGGACCTTAAAACAGACGAAAATAGATCTAAAAGCACATATTAATGTACCGTAACATGTGCATGTATATAAAGTGATTTATATTAAATTTGTTTTTAAATTGTAATGTATAATCAATTATGTTCGGGGAAATGCGTGAACATTTGAACGCTAGCTGTTTAGGCTAGCTTAGTCTATTCTAAAAGCACATTTTAATGTAACATGGACATAAATATGTGATTTATATTGATATTTATATTGCTGGATTTGGTTGATTATGCGTCCATTGTATTTGATGTGTTCAATGCTAATATGGAAACCTGTTTAATGGTTTCATTGGTACCGGAAGTGACATATGTTCAAGGGTAACGTGGCACCGGTGAAACCCTTCATTACTGCATCGCAGTTCTAGTTTTTTTTAGCTTAATCCCTTCTAGACGTTTATTAATAATTATTTTGTCGGTTTTGAATCAGTTATTACTTCCGCACAGTCTTGTGGGATATTTTATTTGTTTATACATTATAAATAGTACCCGAAACCATAGAATACACGACTCGTGTACTGTTTATAAAATGTCCATTGTATGTTAAATATTGGATTTTAGGATGCCATATTTTCACGAGAAGATCACGTGTTGATTAAAATGGACCAATATTGAATTTTAATTGTGTTTTAAACATCTTGAGTTAAAGGTTTGGCTCCTTTACGATTAATTACATACAAAGTTAAAATGTTGAGACGAACGTGAAATATGACTGTTGGTCATTTACCCTTTGAGCGCTCGTCGTGTAGTTAGTTCTCTACTGGTCCCTATTCCGACAATATAGGTCATAAACTGAGCAGGAGTTAATTAACATGTCGTTGCACCCCTCGGGGCGATTAGGTCTAACACAATAACGGTATATTGCCCTGCAATATGATTGGTCAAAGTTCTAACGTTAGGACCAGCATATAAATTTAAGCAAGTTTTAAAGCTTATTTAATATTCAAATTGCATTAAGTTTGGCAGGAAAGAATTGAGTTTTAAAAATGTAAATATAAAGCAGTATTTACTGTGTTAGACAACATATTACCTAGACATACTGATTGATCTGAATATACGACATAATTCGGTACACCGCAACACAGCGGCATAATTCGGTACACCGCAACACAGCGGGACAGTCCTCTCCCGCACTCAGCTGCGTTATTCCCAAATCCCGAATAACGAGTAAAACAGACCAGCCTACATTCCATCCGACCATTTCTTCGCTATATCCGACCGTAGGGATATGTGAACTTTATTCGGGATTAGGCAATGACGCAGGTGAGTGCACGCCAACAGAGAGATGGAACTACGTCAACAAATCCCAATGACCATGATCGAACTCGTGACACTTGGTTAGCTAGGCAACGTCTCACTGAGCCACCGCGGCTCCTAATTGATTTACAAGAAGGTTGCATCATCAGTAAACAACCATACCCCCTCCTTCGGATGGGACGAAAATCCAAGTTCCCGTGTAGGTAAATAATCCGTGATAGTGGGAAATCGAAAGAGTAGCCCACAATCCCATGTAGAATATGCCCGTCCTCATTAGCCCATACGGTTCAGAAAAGGAACGTTAAACCCTATTTCATTCTTTTACGGATGAGACAGCCTTCTTATAAAAGAAATTAAATACAAAAGCAGCTTACTTGAAAAATGGACAATAATGATATCAGAGTTCTAGGAAACAATAATACATGTATTTGAATTCCGAATAACGAAACACCTGTCTCCTTATTCGTTTTCATGCTCAAAAGGCAAAATTGATTGTTTCTTTACTGCTGGGGCATAAGGCAATTAAATATAAATAAAAGTTTACTTGACAAATGGATAATAATTTCAAAATAATACATACATACATACTAAATAATAGATTTATTTGAATCCCGAATACCGAAAACGTCCCCTCTAGTTATTCGCATAGGCGTACGGGCTCGTTGAATGTTACGGGGGCAGAACGACAAATTTTCGGGTTACATATGGCGGTGCCAGTCGTCTGCGAGAGGACAAGGAGCAGAGCTTACCACACCGTTCCCACAAAGAAAATTGGACGGCCGCAAACGCGTTTTCCAGTTGCGAATCTTTTTAGTGGGAACCTAGCATTAAGACGACTGTATTAACATTTTCTATTTCTATTGTAACACCTCAGTGGTTTGCATGAATAAAATGAATAGTCAGACCTTTTATGCTCCTTAACGCCGTCACATGTTTAAGAATAAACTAGATATTTGAGTAACATCCTTGTTGAATACGAAACCCAATAATAATATATTATATGTGTGTATAACATCAACGATAAATATATGGTTGGTGTAATTCATTTTTTATACACTCGGATAATGACGTGACTTTTAATTTTTTTAACAACCAGAAACCTTTTGAAAATTTGACTGCTGCAAACAGTACAAATTCGTGATATTCAATTAAAAGAAATGCAAAATTAGCGTTTTATTAGATTTCGGGCACTTTATTTTGCCAACTAGATGAAATAATGAATTTTGTTTTCACTTTACCCGTCTTCCCCAAAAGTCAGATTGCCCGAACGTTAGGGGGCAGTTTATTTCAAACTCCCTTTGTCACGGGTTACTTACCTACGCGGGATCTCGGGTTTTTGACACATTCGAAGGACTAAGGACTTTCTTGGACCTCTATCAACCACCAAGCCACCGTGACTCCTAACTGATTTACAAGAAGGATACCTCAACAGTAAACAACCATCTCCTCACGTCTATGCCTTAAAACAATCCACTCTGATTTTCGAACTTGAATAACGAATAACGCGACAGAACGCGTTTCGTTATTCGGAATTCAAATTTTGAATAACGAATAACGAGACAGAAGGTTATAGAGTGATATAGGGAGGTAAATGGAACAGCCAGACATCTGTAATCGCATTTGAAAGACATTTTCCCCGTGATATATCTCACTATTTTTGAAAACAATCAAGTAATATGCCCATTTTGCACCTTTATGTTGTAGTAGCGGGTAGTATGTGGTGTGGTATTGGGTAGTATTGGGTAGTATTGGGTTTACATGGTTGATCTTATACTGGGTTTACATAGTTGATCTTATACTGGGTTTACATGGTTGATCTTATACTGGGTTTACATGGTTGATCTTATACTGGGTTTACATGGTTGATCTTATACTGGGTTGAATTGGCCTCGGCTTCACAAAGCATTCTCAGGCTTAAGTTAAGAATTTACTCAAAATTGTTTGCCTTATTTTAACTAAAATATAGCACTATATAAAACGTTTGTTATTTTAATGTATCACATACATCAATAAGAAACTATGTGCAAAGTTTCTTGTTACTGGATCAAAGATATTTCTCATAAACAGTGATTGAAAGATGAGTACAGGGGCGCACATATTGATTTTCTTTTAAAATGAGACCGACTAATGTACAGGCCCCTAATACTTGGACGCAAGAAGTGTTTGAATCTAGAGTCCCTGAAATGCCATTTTATGGACTTTGGGGGAGGATTTTGCACAATTCTAATTGTCAGAAAACACTTATAACATGAGTCAAATCGAGTACTACGCATGGGAACTCATGTTATTTATTAAGAATTTTACAAGAACGTACAAAGTACTGTGAATCTGTGACAACTTATGAAAGTGATAATTACATCATTTACATGGATCTATATCTTCGATATATTGTTCTAGTGAATATAAATAAATATACATAATCTTATGAAGTTTTGCTATATCTCTATTTTAGGATGACTGCGTCGTATCTCTCAATCATGTGAAGGTGAGCTAGATAATGACGCGGAAATATTTGTGTCAATGTATTTTTTATTCATGCTGTACAGCGTATCGACATCTTAATAATGTAGTGTTTTAAAACAGAATATAAATTCCCTGTGAAGATAGAGATATAACTTGACACATATTTAACCTCTTACCCTGGTAACTATACAGATATTATTGATGATCAACTATATCTTTGAGATGTGTCTTTATATGACACATAATGACATACAATGACCTAGACTATATTCTGACAAACATTTTCGAGTTGATCTTTAATTTAAAGACGTAAATCAAACGAGAGAGAGAGAGAGAGCGAGAGAGAGAGAGAGAGAGAGAGAGAGGGGGGGGGAGAGTTAACGTCCACACGAAACAAGCTAGGTCATTTCGCGACTAACATATGGCTCATTTTTTTCAATAATTGGCCTGCACTTAGGGGTCTTAAGCAATGAGATGAAACCGGAGGACCTGGAGAAAGTCAACTGTGAGTTGGACAGGCGCCCCTACTCCTCGGCACGTACAAGCGGGAAATCGAAACCACGCCACTTGACTCAATAAATCAGTGAATCATTCGCCCCCCAGATTCACAAAGTTGATGAGATATGAAACAAACATATTTCATATCCTTTACATGTACATGCGGTAATATATTGTATATCAAAAACTCGAGCAAGCAACCGTCGTCTTTATTCTTTAATATTCTTTGTGTTAGACAAATAACTATACTTTCCGTTTCCCCTTACTCATCACTCGTACATTATACATATAATTTAGAGACAAGTTGATCAAGATGTCGGTAATTTTACTGATGTTTATATCTTCACTTCTAGTAACAGGTAGGTACTGCAGTATTTTATATTCTTTTGGTTAGAATATTGGTTTTGTTCTGGTCAGGTATTGTCCAGCGTGTTTAAAACTTCCCGTAACTGTTGTAATGAAAGGTATATCGCTACCGTACTATTAACATATCGTCGTTGTATTTATTATGAATGTGGTATGTGTCTGTGTAGAAAGCCTTCCCATCCTCTACCATATATTCCAGGATGTGGATAACCCATTGTTTATGTCTTGGTATTTGTGCTGTTATACGTTTTGTTTGTGACATTAACGTGTTGTCATATAAGACAATCGGAACTATTTGAAACACCTTACTGTGTTGCCATATAAAACACACGATACTATCTGAAACACCTTACCGTGTTGTCATATAAGACAGTTATTACTATTTAAAACACCTTACGGTGACGAAAATGAAATGAAATGAAAATGGGCATACGCCATACAGTGTGCTATGTGGGAAATTGTGTGCGGACAGCGGTGCAACGACTTACTCTTATGTCAAGCTATTTTTAACGTGCACGCTAATGTGTACACGGGACCTCGGTTATTGGTTACATCCAAACGACTATACGTTGTGCCTTGCCAGGCCTTCGATCCGGCACCACTGACAAGGATGAACCACGCCGGAAAATACATTCTCAATGAACACAGGGATCGAACATGGGACCCCCAGGTTACCGAGCCAATGTCCTACGAACTGAACCTACTGATCTTGTTAATTTTTCGTTCCGGTAATGGACATTTATTTACTAATGATTTCATTCCGTGTAATTAATTTGCAACTGTTTTCTATTTGGATTTGGTGTCGGAGCTGTCTTGTATCTGAGAGACTTGACAATTTTAGGTAGCCATGAATCTGCAATGTCTACAACATGCGTTAACAGGGGCGTAAATGGGTGGGGTGTGTGAGGTGGGGGCTACCCCACACGCCCAGATATAAACGTATGCGTCCGCGACTACATGAATTAATGAAGTAAACAAACAATGTCAAAACAGAACGGGAAATACTTAATATATGTATGAATATATCTGTGT